GCCGATGCCCCCCGGAGCTCCCGCCTCTCCCTGGTTGCCTTCACACGCTGTGCTTCCCCTGCAGCCACTTCAGCGCTGTGGGCACTGCTGTCAAGGAGGATGCCCTGGAGCTGCTGATGCAAGGTGAGAATTTGCTGTTTCTGGCTAAAGCGCAGAATTTGCTGTTTCTGCTCTCCTTCGAGCAGCTCCATGATGATATAAAGGCTAATGTGACTCGACCAGCTGGGTTGCGCCCTCAGCCCATTCCGGTAATACAGGCCTGTAATCTTGGTGGGCAATGCAGAGCTGTGCGCGTTCGCTGTAAGGGCAGGCCGACAGAAAATCCCCTTCCCTGCGTCCCTGGAAAATACATCTTTGGGACGCATCAGCTCTGAGCGAGCATTTGCATGAGCTGAGGCAGGGCTGTGGGGATAGGATAGGACAGCGCATCCCAGGTTTGGGTTGCGGGGGGCAGCCCATGTTACAGCTGGTGAGATGTGAGCACACGTCTTTGGTAATCTGATGACTGCTCTAGGTCTCCAAAAGCAAGGACGGCTGAGGGTCCTAACAAGGAGTCCTCATGACTTTCTACCTCTCTGCAGTGGTGTCCCATCATTCCGATGAGCTTCCTGCCATCTTGGGTGATGCTGAACTGAGCCGCGCGGACCGCGCTGCTCACCTCAACGCTCTCAAGATGAACTGCTATTTGCTGACGGGCCTGGTGGACGCCTTTGAAATGCAAACCTGCAAGAGTGGTTTGGAGGTGGATCCTAGTGGGAAGGTAAGGTAAGGTGAGGGGACTGGGGGGAAAACAAGGTGATAAAAGTAGTTGATGTGTAAGCTTGGTGAACTCTGTTGTATCTTATCAGACGTTATAGCTGGGTTTATTTAAACGTGATGCCAGCATCTAGGAGTACTGGTATCTCTGTGAAACTGTACATGGAAAAACAGCCAAAGGGACAATAAGTGTCTAAACATTGGTAGGTACTTGGGTGCCTAGGCCTCTCTGTTTCACTCTTCAGTGTCTGGCTGGTACTTAGCATGCCAGTAATTTCCCAAGAGTTCCCATCTGAGGTCAAAGATGACAGCAGCGCTCCTCCGATGTGGGCCTGTAAGCTTCTTGTACATCTCACCCTATGTTCCTTAATGCCCTAGAATTTAACAGTTGCTATCTTTCTGGGGGCAAGCGGGATGGAAATGGTGTTTTTTCTCTCGTCAAGTTGCTGCTGTGTCACATTGTGTAATCTCCTTTCTAGAACAAGAAGAACCGTACCAAGATCTCTGGATTCTTGTGGGAAGAGGAGAGGCAGACGCTCTTACAGCTACTCACACGGCTGCTGCAGCTGGATCTCCGTCAGCTTTGGGGTGGTTTGGTGGTGGAAGAAGAGTTTATCAAGTATGGGATATGGGATGGATGACAGTGGTTTTCTGGAAGGGAGGGTTAAACGTTAAATCTGCCAGTGAGATGGTATTACAGCCCACAGCGGGACGCAGATCGCTGGGAAACTGAGGAAAAAGTCTTGAGGCAAAAGCGATGTGTTTAGGAACCACCGCCTTTTCTCATATTGGCCTCTCAAATTCAGGTGGTTGCACTTAGCTTTTTAAAGATGCTGGAGAATCTCTGGTTTGGGAGAAATGTTTGCCTAGTGCAGTGTGTGAGTTGTCATAGTGAGGTCACTGCCTCTCTTCTGTGGCTTTAGCTTAATGACAGGAAGCTGCTACCGTATCCTGGAGAATTCAAGTATCGGTCTTCAGAAGTACCGGGCCACACGGGAGGCTGTGGCACATCTGCTCGCCGCAGCTCTGATTCACCATAATCACATGTTCAGTGAGTTCCTGCTCTTCTGCCTTCTTCACGAAGCTATTCCCAGTCACTTTCCCTGACCTCTTTTTTTCTTCCCTGTCTCATGTGTGAAAGGTGCCACTCTGAAGATCACACAGATGCTGCAGCACTTTGAACATGTAGCTCCAGTGTTTGCGCAGGCTGTGAGCCTCTGGGTTAGAGAGTATGGTCTGAAAAGCCTGGTGGGCGAACTGCTACGGTGAGTAAAGTACCCCGAGGCTTGTCCTTCCGTGCCTAGTAACTTGAGGCACCCTATTCCTTGTTTCATCTTTCTGTGCAGGGAAATTGGACAGAAATCTCCACAGGATCTGGCTCTTGATGCTTCTGGAGTCAAGGGTTATGCTACCTTCATAACTGAACTAGCTGAACAGGTTCCGGCTCTGATGCTGTCCAACATAAGCATTCTCCTGTGTCACTTGGATGGGGAGGTACACTTCCACAATCTTGCCTGTCCTGAGACGTCATAAAATCATAGAATGGTTTGGGTTGGAAGGGACCTTAAAGACCATCCAGTTCCAACCCCCCTGCCATGGGCAGGGACACCTTCCACTAGACCAGGTTGCTCAAAGCCTCATCCAGCCTGGCCTTGGACACTTCCAGGGATGGGGCATCCACAGCTTCTCTGGGCAACCTGTCCCAGTGCCTCACCACCCTCTCCGGGAAGAATGTGCTGCTCTCCAGTTTTTTCCAGCCAAAGACAGAACCTCTTTCACAGAGATCAAGTAGCCAAAACCTGCCCTTTGGACTAGGTTCTGCCCTTATCTAAAAGATGCAAAGGAAACAGAAACGGTGACATCTGCTGTCTGGTGGTCAATCCCCGATACTGCAGAATGGGACATTGCTTACTGGTCTGAGAGCCCAGCTGTTGTCCCTTGTTCTTCAGTACTCCATGAGTTTGTCATTGTGCTACCTTTTCTTAAACTGCCTTTAAAAGCCTGAAGTGTTTCTCTTACCAGTTCCTGGCTTCTGTGGACCTAGCTGGGTAGCAGGGTTGGGTTACTCTGTCTTGCACGCACAGCCACGTTCACTCAAGTGATCCAAAGTCCATAATGGAGAAATTCATTTAAGGCTGAAGCTTGGCCCAGAAGGCCCAGACTCTGGGCCGTCCTTGCCCTTGGCATATTAAGTCATGTCTTTTTGTCTGTTCCTGGTTTTTGCAGAGTTACGTGATGCGAAATGCCATTCTGGCGGCTATGGCAGAGGTGCTGGTGCAGGTGCTGAATGGTGACCAGCTGGAGGAATCTGCCCGAGGTACTAGGGACCAGTTCCTGAACATGCTGCAGGCCCACGTCTGCGACATCAATAGTTTTGTGCGCAGCCGCGTGCTGCAGCTTTTCACTCGCATCGTTCAGTGCAAGGTAAGTCCGTGCTAGGGAAACGCAGACCAGGAGACATCCAGAGGTCCCTTCAGACCTAGACTTTTCTGTAAATCTATAATCTGTGCCTTTTAGTACAATAATATGTCTGCAGTGAAATACCTTTTCCTGAGTCTCTCGGCCTTCTTGATCACTTTGTGCTCTCCTTTTGTGCTAGGCCCTGCCTTTGACTCAGTTCCAGTCTGTGGTATCGCTGGCTATCGGGCGTCTCAAGGACAAATCTGTGGTGGTAGTTAAAAATGCGATCCAGCTCCTGGCTGCGTTTTTGTCCAACAATCCCTTCTCCTGCAAGGTAATTCCGACGAGTGTCCGTTAAACCTCTGTTTGCAGGCTGAATATCTGCAGTGTGCTCTAGCCAGGGCAGCAGCCTTTCTGTGCCAGGTGGAAGGGTCAGCATAGTCTTTGACTCTGCAGGTGGCTTTCCCAAGTTTAGGTCTTGCTTTCTGTGGCTCTTCCCCCTGGCTTGGTGTAATTGGTAGGTATGCTGAAGGCCAGAGGGGGCGGGTGGTGTGCGAGTTTGTGGAAAAACCTAGAGCAGTTTGATACGAATCTGCCATGGGATTTTTCCCTGAGGATCAGAATTGGTATTTTAGAACATTCTGCCCAGAGCTGCAGCTTTGTGTTGACCTGCGCTGTCTCCTGAGCTTCCGAGCCTCAGACTGGCAGTTCACAGCAGTCCCCATTCTAGGATGATGGTCAGAGTCTGCTATTCCAGTTGCCAAGAACAGTGTTATCTGAGGGGATTGACAATTTAAAGAAGGAAATAGAAGGGAAAGGAGAACCCCAGCATTTCAGAAAGAGGATAAGTAACATATTTCTCCTTCTCTCCCTGACATCTTCAGTTAAGCTGTACCGACTTGGCCGAGCCACTGAAGAAAGAGGTGCAGAAATTGCAGGAAATGAGGGACCGTGGCAGATCCACATCAGGTAATTTCCCTTCTTCCTCTTTCCCCTTCCCAGGGCATACCAGGGCTTATTTTTCCTCATCTTAAATTTGCTCCCAGGTTGCAGTGGCTTTTGTCTTGGATCTTGCTCGTGTGAGATGGTGAGGCCAGACAACTGGGATTAAACTTGCAACAGATTTTTCATACAGTGGTGTTATAAAAAGACCATATGAATGTCCATATCTAGATCAACAGTCCATTGAGTTAAATATCCTATTTTCAGGGTAAGAACTGAAAATACTTATGGACACGTTCCCAGGTTTCAGTTTCCAACCATTCAGTGACCACTTGAGCCATAATTTGGGTCAGATATTAATTTAAACTTGATTAGCCTTGTACCTGGTGCTGCCTAGCAAGTGATGGTTCTCTCTTACTGGCCATTTTCTTACCCTTAGTGGATTCTTTTTTTATGCCAAAGGATTCTTGTCTATTCTTGTTGCAGTCTGGGTGGGATCAGCAGTGGGAATAGTGCCTGCTGGGGGGGGAGGGGTTGGTGGGGAACGAAGTAGAATTCCTAAGTTCTAGGTGAGTTTCTCTCCCTGTTTAGGACAACCTTTGAGTCTCTGTATTCTTCATTTGCTCTGTTGGGGTTTTTTTAAATAGTTCCAAAGATCACTCCAGAGGAAGAGTGGGAAGTGATGCTGCCAGAAATTAGGGCTGCCACACAACAGCTCTTTGAGCCGGAAGAGGAGGCGCTGGAAGTTGAGGAAACAGTGGAGGGTGCATCAGAGCAAATCACTAGGCTGCTGAGGAAGCTGAATTACAGGTAAGAAGGCTCTGTAGTTCGAGAGCCTTTATTCCAAGGGATGTGCCAGTCTCTTGTTCCCTGTTCAAGAAAGGTTGGAGCTCCAGGGTGGAGGGATGATTTCCAGTAACATTACCCTGTAGAAGGGGTTGAGATGGGCACCCAGCACAAGATGCTGGCAGGAGATGCTTTCTCAGGCGTTCAGGGCCAAGTTGGATGGTTTCCCTGGTGTTCTGCCCAAATGGGGCGCTGATGGGCAATGTCGTTGTGCAGGAGTGCAGCCCGCCTTACGCAGCAGGCCCTGTGTCGCTTCCGGGGGAAGGAGCCCTTCAGCAGCCCCACGGAGGAAGACGAGGAGGCGACAGTCCTGGGTGTCATGAAGAGACTTTACACAGGTAACTACTTCAGGTCACTGTCTCTTCCCTAAGTCCAAGCTGATGCCAGAGCTAAACCAAAACCCTCTTGAATGCCCTGTCCCTCCTTGTAATCCACGGGGCTCAGTCTGTGTGTACTTGACAGCTTGTAGAGCTGCACCGTCTCTGGATCATTCGCTCGTCTAGCGGCCTGACGTTTTGGCTGGATCACCTTAGTTCTGTTATTTCATTTCTGGTCAGAACAGTTCCGTGTTGCCTGTAGAAGTGCATTTCTGATGCTTTCAATCCTACACTATCTTCAGTACTGCTCACAACCAAGTGTTTGTGCTGTGCAGGTTCTTACCCAGGTGAGAACAGCGAGGACCCTCCGCATGGCAGCGGTAGTCTGGTGGCTGGAGAAGTGCCGGAAGAGCAGCCTCAAACAGAGCTGGTCAAACAGGAGATGTTGGTGCAGTACCTGCAAGACGCTTACGACTTCTCAGTGAAAATCACGGAAGCCCTGAGCGTGATCAGCAAGATGATGTACACAGACTGTGTCTCAGGTGCGTGAAATAGCCACGGGGCCCTTTCTCCCCCATTCAGCCTTTCCAGATCTTTCCCCTTACTGAAGGGGAGACGTGGGAGTGGTGGCGCTCCAGGGGAAGGGGAAAAGGTTGGAGGAGCTGCTCTTCACTGAGCCGATGCCGCAGGCGTCTTCCAGGACATTGTAACAGCGAGCGCTGTCTAAATGGGTGTCGTGAAGCGCTTGCCTTAGGGCAAGAATGGGCTTTTTAGGATGCTATTTTTTTAAATATCAAGGTTGAAAACGTTTTTAAAAGCCAAGTGACCAAAATGGCTTAAATTGTGGAGGCTTCCCCCGCTCCTGTGGGAGAGGGGGTGTGTGTTTATCGTCTCAGCCGAGGTTCTCCCAGCGTAAGCATGGCCAGCGAAACGGGGTTCTGTTACCTGCTCAGTGCTGTGATGCAGCTTCAGGTGTCCTGCTGGCCGCAAGAGGGGAACTGTGCAGCTTGTCTCGTCCGCCTCACTTTTCCTTAAACTTGATTCAGTAGCTAAAAGGGATCCTGATCAACGGGTTCGATGGCCTGGTCCCTTTCAGTGCAGTAGTGCAAGGTGGCTGAAGAGCAGGCCTCTGAGTTAAATCACTGACTCGTATTTAACGTCAGAACCACTGTAAGCAGTTAGAACCTTTTTTAAGTGCTTGACGTGAATCAGCACCCCCAAAGGGGCTGGGGCACAGAGGGGTGCAGCTCCCTCCTCTCCCAGCCGCCCTGGTACGTCCACTCGTGCAGTTCTGGGGTACAGGTGGGTCTGGGTGCTACTGCCACCTAGCTTCACGCAAGCATTTCGGAGGTTTCCTCTGTGCTGAGAACTCATACGTTACCCATAATAAGCGTGTGGGCTTGCTCAGCAAGGTTTGGATGTCACGAGCTGTTGGCACACTCAGAAATTAACTCCTGAGTTCAGTGTCTTTACGGGTCACTTGAAGTTGAGAGCGGAGGGGGTGCCCTCGCCCCATACCGAAACGCCTGGGTTTTGGTGGTTGGTTTGATTCGGTTTTGTGTAATAGCTGCGCAGATTTTTGCTGCCTCTCCACCACCTGTGCTGTAATGTGGTAGTAGTAAGGGCTGTCTGTGCTTAGATTTAGGGTTTTTTTGATTAAAGATTTGAGATTTAAAGATTTAATCTTTTTTTTTATGTTGCTGGTACGTATCTTCTGCTGTGACTGGAGACAGGGGAAGCATGCCAGCTTGTCGAGATACAAACACGTGTCTGATAGGGATCGTTAGTCAGATCTTTGTTCAGATTTATAAGCTGGGGCTTACGCCAGTGTGAGCTCCCACTTAACCAGAGGCCAGACTGACTGTCCACCGTACTCTAATGGTTACGGTGGCTCTTGTGAGTGCTCTCCAACTTAACGGTTTCTGTTGTCTTATACTGTCCAGCCTTCTGCACGTATTTCAGGAGTAGTTAAGCTGGAATCAAACACATTATTCCTCACCCTATTTACACATCTTAGTTTTTCCAGCTACAGCATCACACTGGGACTTACATTCAGCTGCTTTTATCTGCTGTGACCAAGAGAGCTTTGTTTTTTTCAAAGCCGTGGTTACCCAGAAGGTAAATGTTCTTTTTCAGACATGGCCTCTGTACTCTTCTCCTGAATGTATAGCATTTACATTAAGCTGTAATATTTTTAACCCGTGCCCGTTTCCTCTGGGACATCTATCTCTTTGTACCAGTGACCCCATTCTGACTTGAGCCCTCTGCAGACAGTAACAGTGAGCTCAGGTGATGGTAGGCCTTGCCATGAGAGTAGTAGGCCTATGAATTTGTTTTAATGGCCTCTCTGATGGGGATTAGGAAAGAACTGCACTAACACAACTGTTCTTCTCCTCTACAGTGGTGCAGGAAACCATTCAGTTCTTCGTGACAGTCTCAAAGTTTGGTGTGCCCCAGGCACTGCTCGGAGTCCGCAAGATGCTCCCCCTCATATGGTCAAAAGAGCCTGGTATTAAGGAGGCCGTGCTGAACGCCTACAGGCAGCTCTACCTGAGCCCCAGCAGGGATTCAGAGAGGTATGGGCCTTCCTAATCAGAAGGCTGGGATTTTATTGTTTTGGTTTTTCCTCCCCTGTTTCTTCTTTTGGGGAGCTGTCGGGAATGGGGTATGGAGAGGAAGAGAAATCAGTTGCCACGCTTCACGCTGAGCTGAAGCATCAGGCCTGTGTCCACTAGTAAAGATGCTTTCCCTCTGAGCTGTTACCACCACTTGTGCAGTTCCAAGAGGGTATCTGAGTAGCCCAGTCTTCCTGGGGGACCTACCCCCAGCTTCTGCCCTTGCTCTGTCATAGTGTCCATGCGTAGGAAACTTAACGCGGCAACCTTCCGTGTGCGAGCTGGCGGAAGGAGGAGCCTGTCGCCAGCGCTCAGCGTGCTCATGAATTTCACTCTCGCCAAGCCCTGGGCCACCATACCTGTGCCCAAATGATCTGGGTAGGGCCTCTGCGTGATAGGGGCGTCAGTTATGAACGTTCGTCATGTGGGGTGGAGTTCTCGGTTGGCAACAACAAACTGATTTTATTGGGGGGCTGTTTCCAACCCCTTTGAAGCCGACCGTTGTGATGGGGACACCCCTGTACAAGTGTCTCGTGTACTTCACCCTCTGTGGGCAGAGTTGTCGCCCAATGTCTGTTCCCTCCTTTTGAGTTTCCTGTGGCTGTCGTCGCTCGTGCCGTTGGAATAACAAGAGGAACGGTATACAGCGTGGTCTGAAGTTGGAGCTTTCTGTTACCAGAGCCCAGGTTGTTTTTGCTGACAAGTCACGCGTACTGTGGCCTTCTCCGAGTGTAGGCGTTCTGCTTCTGATGTACACAACACATTCCTCAGTGTTTACTGGTGTTCTTACTGCCAGTTGTGTCCTTGTTTCATTTTCAACATACACCATTTTTTTTAATCCCTCACACTGCACTGGTTACTGCTGTTGGGGTGCTTTCACACACATCTCTCCTTGTATTTCATTCAGATCGCTCTTGAATCCTTGTAACGAGTCTCTAAGCGTGGCAGATGAATGTTAACAGGCTCTTTGTTGCTCATCTTTATTAAAGGATTTCGGGGTGGGGACTGCCTGCATGCTTGTGTCTTCCAAGCTGGAGAGGAGCTGTTTCTTCTCTCTACTGTGGCACCTGCTCCTTTTTTCTTAGCACTTGCTCGCCTGTAAATCCTGTGGGATACACCTTCACTGTGTGATCCCTGGTGAGATGCACCATACCTCACCCTCACTTGTACCATCAGGGCAGTAAAAAGCACCCACTGCTGCTTATTTCTCCTTGATGGTGTTGCCTGCAGATGATTCTCCTGCAGTTTGAGCTCTGGCCTTATTTATTCATAAAGAGATTTTCGGTTTCTTACACTGGAGGGAACGGTACTTTGACATATGGTTGAGAGCAACCTGGGAAGTGGCTGGTGAGTGCCTCTGCTTGGCTCCTTGAGCACCAGCAGTGCACAGGGCAGTGGCCTTCTGAGCTCATGTTGTGCTCATTAGCTCTTGAGCTGAGTGACTTGGAGAACTTCAGCTTGTGGAGGGGGAAGTTTTCCTGAACACGGGGATCAGCTCTGCTATCTAATAGCCATCCTCAGCTCTGTGAATGGGGGAGTAATTGTGACAGTTGCTTGTTATTTTTATTTTCCACCCCTTCAAAGGGCCAGGGCGCAGGGCCTGGTGCGTTCTCTCTCTCTCATCATGGTGGATGCATCGCTAGGAACGATACAGTGCTTAGAAGAAATGGTGAGTACTTGCCTTGCCTGGGTTTGCGTTGTATTTGTGATCTTGGGTGTCCCGTTATATTGAAACGGTAGTCATTGCGGTTGGTGTCGTTGAAGCCCATCCTGCTCTGCTTCTCCCTACTTGTTTTTTTTGCATTTCTCTTCCAGATCTCAGAGTTTGTGCAGAAAGACGAAATAAAGCCTGCCGTGATCCAGCTGCTTTGGGAACAATTCACAGAAAAATCTCGGTGCTCGTCCCTAGAACGACGCGCGGCTGTGATGCTGCTGGGGATGATGGCACGGTGAGCGCGGGGCCGGGGCCGCTCCTCTGAGGGGTTGGTTTACACTGAGGAACCACGAGTGCTGCATCAGCTGCTCCTCTGTTCTGCAGCTTCGCAAACGGTAACCTCGCCACGGGGTAATGAAGCCTGGACACAAACGCAGTTGTGCTAGGACCCACTGGCACGGTCCCGGAGTATGACGGCGTTACTTTGTGTTCTGAATGTCCGCCCCTTCTCACGAGTTCACCGCCTCGCAGCCCTGCAGCTCTGTCTGTGTTTGGATAAGAGCAATGAAAAGATGCTGAGCAGAGATGTCTAGAGCCTTTAGCGTGGAGAGAAATGCATCTGCTTCCCTTTCTGGGGGCAAAAAGAGTGTCATTGCACCGTAAGGTTTTCATTTCCTCAGTTTTCCAGACCAGTAATCCTTTGGCATTTAGCTTACCTGCTGATTTCTTCTTGCTTTCAAAACTTCACTCCTTCATCAGTGAAAAATAGGCCTGTGTAACGATGACCTGAAAGCTCTTGGCTCTAGAGTTGGAGCCGTTTCTCGAGCTTATAGCCAATTCTGCAATTGGAATTATTGGATGTTCCTTCCAAGGTATTTCTACCCCCTCATCCCACTTGCTGGCAGCAGACTTGTAGACGTTGCCTCAAAATTAACATTATTCCTTAAAATCGCGGGATTTAAAGAAAACTAGGTTTCCAGGGTATCCCATCTGTCGAGGCCATGGGATGTGTGAAGCAAGAACAGCATTGCCTTCTTCACAAACCTGCCAAGGCGGATTTCACTTTTGTCCTATAGAGGCCTGTTAGGAACTTTTTATATTCTCTTTATAAATACATTAGATTCTGGTTTTACCTTCTTCACGCAGTTATTCAGAGGTAGCAAGGGAGGTGTATGTGGGCATGGGTTTTTTGGGGGGTTGTTTTGCTTCCCACAGTAGGGGAGGAAGTGTCACACGTCACCAGTCCTGAGCTGCTGGACTCTCTTCTCTTCTGCAACATTCTTTTTGGTCTTAGCCTTGTAAGTTTTGCTCCTTTCTGGGAAGGAAGAAAGTCAAGAATCTGGGACAATACGCCCAGTGTTGCTCGCTTTGGAGAACTTCACCTCTATACTGGCTTCTGTGGACTACTGCTTGCTGCTCCTATAGCTGCATCTTCAGTCACTGGATGGATTTTTCTTTATTTCCCCTCTTCGTCGACCCACTGCCTTCTGCCAGGCACGAGGGGGATTTCGGGTGGTTACGCGTACTTCTGTAAACTTCATACAGCAGCAGCTCGGGTAATTCCCTCCATCCCTTGGGTTCTGTAGGGGGAAGCCCGAGATCATAGGCAGCAACCTGAATGTCTTGGTGACAGTGGGGCTGTCCGAGAAGGCGTGTGAAGACTATCGCCTGGCTCAAGAAGTATGCAGTGCCATCTCCAAACTTACCAGTAACCCTAAGGTAAGACTCTTCGTTTGCTCCTGAGGTCATCCAGAAACACAGAAGGGGAGGGGTAGGGAATGGTTTGTATTGAGAAGAGAGAGAAGTGATTAAATTTTGACCGATTTTGAAATTAAGTAGGTTGAGACTGTTCAGCAGCGCTGTCTGGAAAGCTCAGCACGCATCAGTGAACATGTAATAAAAGAATTTTCATGAGGCAATGGGCTGCATTCAATTAGTAAAGAGTTCAGTGCACAAGAAAATCTGTTTTCCTTTTAATTCTATTCCTCAGACTCCCAGTTCTAAACTGATTTGTGTTTCCTCAACCGTGAAGCCTTTTCCTCTACTGATGTTTTCTGCTGTGGTGATTCCTTTGCCCTCCCTATTAACTGGTATTTGGGAGCTGTCAGCTGTACAGCTGAATATAAAACGTAAACGATTTTCAAACCTGTCCGTGAGGGGATGGGGGGAAAAACTCGAGCAGATCTTGACGAGGCAACCAGAGATGTGCTGGGATATCTCAAGCATTGCGATGCTTGGTTTACTGGTTCTCTGGGTTATCTTTATTCCCAACCTAAAATGCGGTGGCACTGGCACAAAGCAGATGCAACAGCCCAAGCATGAGGTGGTGCTGGATCCAGAGCCGTCCTCTGTTGTTTCTGCTGGTAGTATTTTGCTTTTGAACGAAACCGTAGGAGTCTGGATTGCCCCCAGGCCAGGGCGTCTAGCTGACTCACTGTGGATAACTCTGAAGGTGCTCTCAAGGTTTCCCTTCTCACTCGCTGTCTAGATGAGTAAGTCATACCAGATTTAAAAAGAGCAGTTTTGAGATTTCAGGAGAGTTATTTTGATTTAAGGTGAAGTAGTGGAACCCACTGGGTTCAACATTTGGCCAAGCTTCCCATCCACTCAGTGGTGCCACCACGTCTTCAACAGTGACAGTAAGGTCCCTGCTGCGTGTTTAGTCGCAGAGCGGTGCTGGAGGTACCGCCGCGGGCCTAGCGCGGGTTTGCTTAGTGCTGTGCGCATTGCGAGGTTAAGTAGCGGGAAACTCTTCTGTGGTGAGAGTAACTCGGCTGTTCTCTCTGCAGCCAGCTCTGGGGAAGAACAACGCACCTTTTCGACTGCCGCAGAACCACATGCTCTTCGAGTGCCTGAGCGAGACTGTCAGCAAAGGTGAGCTCAGGTCAGCAGTAGGTTTGGGGGAGATGGAGCTGGGCTGTGAGACAGCCTGTGGTGTTCCTGGGGTGTGCGGTACACGGCTCCCTCTTCTCCCCAGGCTTTGCCCAGCCCAGTGCCTACTGGATCCCCTTCATGGAGGCAGCAGTAGCGCTCATCTACCAGCTGGCAGAAGGAGCAGAGGAGATATGTGCTCGCATCCTGCAGGCGTGCAGTCAGCAAGCTCTGGAGAAGCTGCAGGAGGCTGGTGGGCAGAAGGACGGTGAGCAAAAAAGTTGGTGAAGGCAATCTCTACCCGCGCTTTCCAGTCAGGGTGGCCTAACTGCAGGAGGAGAGCAGAGCTGAGGGGGTGACGGAGGTGTTAGCGTGGAAGGGCGCGAGTGCTGCCAAGGAGTGTGTGGAGATGGGTTATACAGTGAGGCTTGCAGTAACTGATGGGGGAAGAGGTCTAGAGCAACACTGAACTCTAGTAATTTTTCTCTACTAGATCCAGGGGTTTCTCCCAATAGAGTCTCCGATGGTGCTAGCAGTCTCCCCAAGTGTCCCTTGTGGGACAGGTGGCACTGCAGGAGGTCACGCATTTGGAAGTGTCGGTAAGCGCAGAGCTGCGCAGGCGCCGCGTCCTCAAAGAGGAGAAGACCAAGAAGCATTCTGACAGCAGCAAGAAGCAGCAGAAACGCCAGGTGAGAACTGAGGGGTTTTTTTTTCCTATGGGCAGCTATTCTAGTATCCCAGCTACTGACACAGCGGACTTCTGGGTAACGCGCTCCTGGGGATGTGTTAGGTGTGGGGTGACGCGTGCTTTGGGAACAGAAACGCACACGGGTTGGTCAGGCTTTGACAGGGAGAACCGAGGTCCTCGAATGACCCTGCGCAGTAAAATTCTCACACTGGTCTGGGGTTTTGAGGAGGCAGAGGAGAGGGAATAAAGGGTGATGTCCTGGCCACGCTTATCTTCCTGCTTCAGGTGAACATTTCTTTCCCACTCATCACCTCCTTTCTTACCAACGCCAAGGGCTTCTGGAACCTTGGTCCATGGGGCTTGAGGGTCCTATCTCTCAGGCAGTAATAACGAAAGTTTAATAGCAGCCTTCTTAATGGGGTCTGTATGATAGAAATACTCTGGTTGGGTCTACCTGGGAACGGTTTCCAGAGTGTAGTGAGGCTGACTTGCTTGGGTGGGAATAGGGAAAAATGCTGTGTGTCCTAGGTATCCAGTCTGTCAGATGTCTGACTGCTGTGTCCAGAGAAACTTGTACTCTGTTTCCTCATCTGCGATGCGTATCGGTGTCACTCCCGTTTCCCACGCAGGAGGAGGTTGCTATGAGATCTCCCAAGAAGCAGCAGTTAGATGCAGATTCGGTCTCCATGCAACACCCATGTCTCTCTTCTTCCCAAGTGGTGTTTTTACCTTACTATAAGGTCTCTCATAACCTTGCTCACACGACCAGCAATTCACAGGCTGCTTTGAACTTCTTTTTAGCATTTGCATGTCACTTAAGTTGTGCCAGGCTCTGGCATTGATGCCAGCTGCGTGTCTCAGCTTAGCAGCTTCAGTAACTTTCTCTCCACTGGTGTTCTGCACCATGTGGACGGGCAAATCCTGGACCACCCTTTGCAGCTTTGTTCAGTTCTCTGGGAAAAACGGGTTATGGAAACTCTTGTTCTCGGCTCTAGTCATACTTCCAGTAACATGGATGCACCTCTCGCCCGAGAGACAAGTGCTTCGGGAAGGAAGGGGTTATTGGTGCCTGTCATCTATTCTTACGGTCTTCCTTTCCACCCAGAGCACAGGAAACGAGACCACTCTGGAGGAGGAGCTGGGCCTCGTGGGAGCCTCAGCTGACGACACCGAGGCTGAGCTGATCCGCAGTATTTGTGAGAGAGAACTTCTCGATGGTGAGTGTGGCTGCCTCCGAGGCACGCTGGCTCTGTCTGCGTGAGTGAAAGAACAGGTACAGCGGGCAGCAGGCCCGGAAGGAGGAAGGCCGTTTCCTTCGGAAGGACATGCTGTCGGTTTGGTGTCACTTTCTGTGTAGGCTGTGTCTTTGCCTCTCCAGAGGTGGCTTTGCAATGGTGAAAGTGCATCAACCCCATCTGCAGCAGTTCTGGGATATCATCTGCAGGAGTTCTGGGATAAATGGAGTACTTGTTCTTAAAGAGGGATGCACGAACAGTGCTCACATAATGCTGTCTTCATCCCCACTCTCTAGAGAAGCACCTGTTCTCTGCCTTCATTCCGCTGGTGCTCAAGATCTGCAACAACCCTGGGCTCTACAGTGATTCGGCGCTCTCGGCAGCTGCGGCCCTGACTCTTGGCAAAATCTGCATGGTCAGGTAATGCCTAGCCACGCCGGTGTTCTCCTCCCAGCCTTCCTAGTACTAAAGCACAAGCAAACATCGCAGCTCCTTTCCCGGGAAAAGAACAAACACCAAAGAGCATTCGTAGACTTGATTTTGTTGTTTGCTTTCACAGCTCCGAGTTCTGTGACTCCCACTTGCGCCTGCTGTTCACCATGATGGAGAATTCCGCTCTGCCTGGTGTGAGATCCAACCTCATTTTGGCAGCGGGAGATCTGGCCATCCGTTTCCCCAACGTGGTGGAGCCTTGGACGTCGCATCTCTATGCTAGGTAACACTACGCCTGTTGCTGGGAGAGGATGGCTCTGTGGAAGGGTGACGCTGGGCCTCCTAGAAGAATGATCCAGGAAACTAAATCGGAAGGTGTCAGTGCAGGGAGACAACAGGCCTGGGCTGTGGTGTAGGCTGCCATGGGTATCCCTGGAGATACTCTGCCGCTTTCTGTGGTAACCGTATGCTTCTGCTAGGTTGCGGGACCCCAGCCCACACGTGCGGCAGACAGCTGGACTGGTGATGACCCACCTCATCCTTAAGGACATGGTAAAGGTGAAGGGCCAAGCAAGCGAAATAGCAACTCTCCTTATAGACCCAGAGGAGGCAATCATGGGAGTGGCTCAGAACTTCTTCAGTGAACTCTCCAAGAAGGCAAGTGGATGCTCGGGGACCTTAATTTGGAAGCGTGGGGAAGGGCTGGTGGAGGCTCGGGTCAGTACCACGAGAGCTGAGTCCGGGAGAAGAGTGTGAGTGGTGTAGAGCAGCTGTCTGTCCCTCTGTGTTGCCTAAATGAGGGTAGCTAAAGGAAATTTTGCAACGCAAGTTTTGTTTCAGCCCTGATGACGTTGGTCAGTTTGACCTCATCCATTCCCATCGGAAGGCAGGCTCCAAACCCTTTGCTTTCTTGTGCACGTCTAGTACAGGCCTGGGGACGGGTCCCTGCGGTTTACCTTTAGGCCTTCAACAGGGTTAGTTCCCTGAGCCCATGGCTCAGGCAGTGCATCGTCTCTGACACCTTTCGAAGTTGTCCTTGGTCGCGTGACGGTGAGATGGTTTTGCTGAAGCGGTTGCAGCCCAAGTGGGTAAGAACAGCAGCACCGTCGCCCCCACAACCCTCTTCATTCACCGTCAAGGTTGCTGCTGGCCCTTCGGGGTTTCGGATTTACTGCCTGAGGAGCAGTGAAAGAGGCTGGAGCTTTACTACCTTGGCTAGCTTTGTTAAAAGCAGAGCCAGCCACCCGACTGCACTGACTTCCCATCTCCGCAGCATCTGTGACACAACTGTGCAGCGGGAAAGGGAATCTGGATTGGGCCTTTCCAGGCGAGATGGGAGGCAGCTCCTTGAGTTTCCCTTATCAGGGAGGGTTGTGACAAGGTTGGAAAGCAGAGAACCTGCATCTAAGTCTGCAGAGCTCTTGCAAAGCGAGGGTTGCAGTTGTTCTTAGCTTGTTGGTCCCCCTGCCTTCGCTTCAGCCACGTAGTCCTGGGTAGGTTTGGCTGGTCGTGTACAGCTCGTTTCAAAAAGCTGCTGTTTTCAGCCAGTAGATTTGGGGTGGGGAGAAAGGAGATAACTTTGTGGGCACCTTTATTTGGCTTGACTCGAGCCGTCTTTCACAATTCTGTGTCTCATGGAGAACCTTGTATTTTGCACAGGATAATGCCATCTATAATCTGCTTCCAGACATAATCAGTCACCTCTCGGATCCTAACTGCGGCGTAGAGGAGGAATCCTTCCACACTATTATGAGGTATTCTGGGGTTGAAGAAACCTCTCTTGACAAGGACTATGCTTATGCAGAGGGAGTGCTGGATCCAGGGAAGAGGAACTAGAGTGACATGTGCTAAATGCTTGGTCAGTTGTTCTTGACCTGACCTTTTTGGTCTGCATCCGAAACAGTCATGCTGGGGGGAATCAGTTCCAAAGCCACGTGGTTGAGGGTAAGGTGAGACTCCACAGAGAGTTTCCAGCAGCTCATTCAAAATGACTTTCCCTCTAGTAAACAGTTGGCGTTTTGTTGGCTTACTGGATTTTTGTAAGCAATTTTAGTAAAGCTGTAGTTAAGGTAACACATTTGGGGTTGTTGTGTCAAGAAAGCCTTCCTCTGTTGTATAGAAACACATTGGAATATTTCCATCTGAGGGTACTGGTTGCTCACAGACAGCAGAATGAAAGTTGTAGTGTAAATCTACAGCAGTTTTTCTCTCCTGCGTGAAACGCAGCCACGTGAGGGTTCTCAGCGTTGCCTGAACTCTGTGGGTTACAGAGGGGACTGTAGAAAAGTTCTGCTGAAGAGGAGAACAGTAAAATCTCTTAAAATTAACAGTAAAATCACTTAATTTTTTTTTTGTTTGTTTTGTTTGTTTGTTGTTGTTGTTGTTGTTTTCCCCCCCAACTAGCCTTTTTCTGTCCATGACACTCTAGGGCATTTAGGAGGAGGGATGGAATTTTGGACAGGTAGGAAGTATAAGGCATGGAAAAAGTCTGCTACTGAGGCTGAAACTGAGACTGAAAATAATTTAGGGCTGTAAAGGTATATGGATGTTTTCCTTCAGCTTTCAGCAAGGAGGATAATGGGAAATAGAGCGAATGGCTACTGACAGTACATGTAGAAGGGGAAGGTAGTGTCTGAAGTGGGAAGCACATCATCAGAGAAACAGGAAGGTGACGTGTGTAAAAAGAATGGGACATAATCCTGGAATTTTGAGTGCAGTTTTTAATAAATGCCAAACTGGAGATGTTGCTGCAGACCTGGGCAACAGCAGGTGTAGCACTTCCACTGAAGTGTGATTAGTGTAGTGGAGACAGCTATCCGTGGAGTCTCCTGACTTCCAGCAACACCCAGGGAGAGAACTGGAAGTGCGTGGCAAATAAGACAGAAGGCAGTATGGATTTAACAAAGTAGATAGGTGTCAAATTAGTCTAAAGCTAATTAATTTTAAAGATGACCTGATCATCAGTTGGCACACCACATCGTATCCTTTAAATGAGGGAGAAAAAGGGAATAGTAGTTGAAACTGAACTATTTTCCCCTGCAGCACTCTGTGAAACGCCTGCGCTGTAGAGAGGATCCAGTTCAGCGCAGGAACCGTGGTGGACAAAGGCCCAGGCTAAGGAAGGGAGTGGTGGCTTGTACACCAGGGATGTTGCCAAGCCAGAGAATAGGGAGGTGTAAAAAGCCATCGGAGTTGTGGCATCTGCTGGAGGATAACAAGCTGGGGGGTGTCACTGCTAAGGGACTAACTCGTGGAGAATGAGAGGGTTGCAGGAACAACGGCGATGCAAACTGGCAGAACAAAGCATAGGGTTGAATGTGTAGAAATTGTTTCACCTCTGCTGTAAGGCTACAGATAGAGTTAGAGGTGTATTCTACTTGCTGTTTTAGCAGTCGAGTTACTCCTGGTTTACGTATAGGGAGGCACTGGAAGTGCTGGTGAGACCTTGACCAGAATGCTGCCACAGCTCTGGTCGCTTCAGTTGAAGAAAGGTGCATTGGTGTTGAACAAATGCCAAGGGAGGACTGTTGAGGATACCCTCGCTTTTCCCATATCTGAGAAAAGCAGCTCAGTGTGGTGGTAGACGTAGCAAAGTCGGGACAGGGACGTGCTTAGAGCAGTTACGTCAAGGCCGGTGGAAGCTGAGCTGAACAGAAATGTTGGTACAAGGGAGACCAGCAGGACCTGCTGATTAAATAGAAGTTACTCGGTGATTTCTACGAGGACATTATGCAAAACGCAGGAGTACTTAACTGTGTGAAAATCCGTGCACGTCTCTTCCTCGGGAAGCCAAGAAAAATGTGGGATGAGGTTAGCATGTAAGTTCTGTTAGGCTTTGTTCCCGCTTCACCGCAAAATGACGCTCGCTTTCCCATTGATCTGAGACAGAACTGGATGGAAGGAGCTGACGGAAGTCAGCGCTGCAGCCTTTCACCTTCCCTCCTGCACAGACGTTAGCACTTCTTACGCCAGCCCTACCAGGGTCTCCGCTTCTGCTGGATTTCAACCCTCCAGGTTTAATGCTATGTTACGTCGTAGCAGCTGTCCCCCAGCGTGGGCTGTGATCCCCATCTGAAATATGGACGATTACAGCTCCTCCTGAGCCGCGTCCGAGGCGTGCAGGGCAGCGTTGTGTTCTTCCGGAGGACCGCCCAGCTGATCGCTGGACAGGACTGCTGCGGGCATCCCATGGCGTAGGCAGAAACGGGCTTTCCTCTCCGGGTTCTCATTCTGCAGTTTATTACGGTTTTTATTCATTTGCAGATATCTCTTCTCATATATTACGAAAGACAAACAGACAGAGAGCCTGGTGGAAAAACTCTGTCAGCGATTCCGGATTGCCAGGTGGGTTGTAATCCTCATTTTCCTGACAAGCAAGTCTGCTGCTTAGGAGTTGTTACAAGAAACTAGCTTGTGTACAGGTGCTTTTAACAGATTCCCATCATATTTTTCACGTGGCAGTGACAAATGCTGAGAGAGAACTCTGTGCCCGGGACTCCTGGGGCTTTGGATGCTTGTGCCACCACGCATTTACGCCTGCGCTCGGCGTACGCCTTGCTCGTGGTGCTGATTACAGAGTGCAGGGCCCATCCCGTGAATCTGGGGGATCATTTTGCTTCCCGGGTTTTGGAGTGGGGTTTTTGCTGCTCCTTTCCCCAAGCTGTAACTTCACAGGCACAGCCGCATACTTTCTTTTTCCACCCCACTGAGATAGCAATTTATCTGCCTCTGTCGTGTACTTTCGGTGACACCTTCGTTTTACCTCCCACTGGATTTGGTGCCTCCGTTCCCGTGGGTTTCCCTCTCCATCGTTGCGGCTTTGCCCTTGAGGTTGAAGCTGTGTCTGCTTATCTTGGCCGTTTGTACACAGCGCCTGGGCACGTGACCTGCTCGGCTGCCTCAGGGAGTTGCATATTCCTCAAATATTTGGATTTTTGTTTTCTGAGCTGCAGCGGAGAGTGGCCCCCTCTCTCTCCAAAATTGCCTCCCAGGAACCATCTGCGTGTCTGGCCTTTGTTAAAACATCCTGATACCCTGCAGCACGCAGACAGTCAGCTTAATGCTCAGGAAAAAAGAGCAAGACTCCCGCTTCAGGCTAAAACAGGAGCTTATTGGGAAAGGCTTTGAAGTCGCCGTCGCCATCACCCTCCTCAGCATTTCTGGGGTTGTAAACGTCGCGATGTGCCAAGCAGCATCAGACTTTAAACTCCTGGATGCTGCAGCTTCGCTCTCCACCTGTGTTTGGACAGTGGGCTCTGAGGAGGTATAGCCAAGACACGCTCGTGGCCCTCTGCTTTGTTTATATCAATAATGGGGGCTTTGGCCTAGCTATTTTTTTCCTCCGATTCCATCACAGTGAGCTACATGAAGGATGTTGGGGGTTATTTCTTCCTACTGCCCCCACCAGCAAGTTTTCCTGGAATTTCAATATCATCCTCCCTTGAAACAGCAGTTGTTATTTATTCACTTTATATCTTAATGAAAATGGCCTTTTATGTAACTGGTCAGGAGAGAAAACATCGAACGCAGCTCCTGCTTGAGATGGTCTCCGACGTGCAAAAGCAAGCAGCCAGATCGTATTCGTTACTCCTGTGAGACAAGGCCCCTCCAGAAGATTCCTCACCTCACGGGGTGTATCTTTTCATCCTAGTCAGCAATAACTTCTGACATTTGAACAAGTGGCTGTTCTTTAACGGTGCTGCCTTCGGGGTTTCTGACAGAGCCCAAGTCAGCATCCAATGGAAGCACCTGCAGGAAATGCTTGATCCTCATGTTCTGTCCTTATCCCTACGCGCCTCTTGTGAAAACGTAACAGCTAACGGCGATCTCTATCTTTCCCAGAACCGAGCGTCAGTATCGGGATCTGTCCCACTGCCTTACTCTGCTTCCCGTCTCGGAACGGGGCCTTCACAAGCTGCAGGACAACTTTGACTGCTTTGCCGACAAGCTCCAAGACCCAGCTATCTACCGTTGCTTCCAAACTGTGCTGGCTCGATTCCGCAGAGCAGGCGGCAAACCTGAGGCTAAAGTAAGGATGGGGGGACAAGTGGCCAGGCCAGGAATACGCTTGCTTTTCACACACAACGATGGGAAATCCCTCCAGTTCTCCACATCGAGTAGGCTACTCCTCGCCCCCAACACTTTATCGGAGAACCTGACGGCAGTTCTGCTATGGATGTAACACTCCTCTGCTCTCCCCTCACCTTCTCTCTTGGTTTTTTTCCCCCTCCCAACGTTACATCCTCCATCAGGCTTTGGCTGAAGAGCTGGAGCACAAGCTGCATGCCTGCCATAACCGAGGGCTGGATTCAGCAGAGCCATGCCAGGACAGCAGCGCGAATCCAATGCCAGAGCCGGCCAAGCGGAAACCAGCAAGAAGTATGTTCCCTTTTGGGCCTGCAGCCTTCCCCTTGATCCTGCAGTCCAGCAGAGACACCTAGGGACTTTTTCTCACCCTTACAGACAGGGTGACTGCTGCCTGTCTTGTTTAGGTTTGGCCCTGTTTTTCTTGGCAGGTTCCCACCGTCAGCCCCTGAGCTCAGCCAACAGGGATGAAGACTTCGTCACGCCCCGGCCGCGCAACCTCCGAAACCAAAAGTGTGCCCAGAAGCGCCCTCCGTGCAGAAAAGCGATTATCGCCTTCTCCAGCGACGAGGAGAACAGCTCTGAGGACGGTAAGGCATTAGAATCACGGAGTCACAGGATGGTTTGGGTTGGCAGGGACCTTAAAGACCATCCAGTTCCAACCCCTCTGCCATGGGCAGGGACACCTTGCACTAGACCAGGTTGCTCCAAGCCTCATCCAGCCTGGCCTTGGACACTTCCAGGGATGGGGCATCCACAGCTTCTCTGGGCAACCTGTCCCAGTGCCTCCCCACCCTCTCTGGGAAGAACTTCTTCCTGATATCCAACCTAAACCTCCCCACTTTCAATTTAAACCCATTACCCCTTGTCCTGTCACTACAGACCCTTGTAAAAAGTCCCCCCCCAGCTTCCTTGTAGCCCCTTCAGGCACTGGAAGGTGCTATAAGGTCTCCCCAGAGCCTTCTCTTCTCCAGGCTGAACATCCCAACTCTCAGCACAGATGTGCTCAAAAGGGGAGAGTGGAGAAAGGCCGGAGTTGGGGCCCATCGGGGCGGTTTCTTTGGTGACGGGCAGAGGGTTGTAAGGCACTGCCTGGGCTGCCTGCAGATTTCTCTGTTTAAGGCAGCGCTGCTTATCGACACGTTTTACTCTCTCAGATCTATCAGCAGAATTAAAAGAGGAGGAAACCCCCACCAAAACAACGCCCATCACCAGATCTTCAGCCCGCCGGCTGCGCTGAGGGAACCACCTGCCGCTGTCTCTAACTAAAAATAAAAGGTGTTTTATGCAGCGCTCGTCTTCTCTTGTCTGAACAACCCCGGAACAGGGAAGTGCTTTAAACGCAGACGCAAGGGAAGGTACGTACCAGGCTGAAGCAAGCCCAAGCCTGTCCTTTGGCTATCCTCACGCAGAAAGGCAGTGATGAACACAGCTGCGCTAGACTTCGGAGCAAAGTCATTCTATGAAGACCCAAATTAACCACCGAGTACAAAATGCTCATTCCCTTCCCATCTTGTACAAAAAAAACCCCAACCAACCAACCAGAAAAAACACCCTTCAGAAGTATCTTTGCCTAACTGCGATTTGCTCGAGTGAGCGAGTATACCGTAACGCTGGTTGTCTCACTGCACGTGTTGGGACGTATTTGCTGCGAATCCAATTACGTTTCTTGGAAGACTTTTTTCCTTCC